AAGAGATTTCGAACCTCTGCCAGCCTTAACAGAGCCAAAAATAATGGCTCTGAAAACCTGAAGAGGCCCACAATGGATTATGTATAATCCATGTTCGTCACTACCGGGACAAATTAATACTTCCATATATCACTCCCTGCCAACCAAACGTTACATAGCAAGCTAAAGCAGCAACAGATACGTCGACAGAGGCGCCCACGGGATTGTATCGAGACTTGAATCACTCATTCTGAATTGTGAGAGGAGCATATTAATTTCTACCCCCGCCAGACTTTATTAAGCCATTGCTAACTTCCGAGTATCGCTATCCAGTCAATTTGTTGATGAGACATGTAAATGAGCCTTCTTTCAGACAAATAAAATCGTTCGTTAAGAGAAATTGTATTCCTTGAATATCATTGTTTTTGGCCTTGTAAAACTTTATCCATATATCAGCTTTTATTTAAATCCGTAGTGTTTTCTGATCTGGTCTTTCAAACATAATTATGATTTTGAACAATGTATAAAAATGATTGATTACTAATTAATATGTAACTTCCGCTGTTACTTGGTAACGTGTCAAAGCGCTTTACTGAAACAGATTAAAATCTGAAACAGTATTTTGTTACATGCGCTATGCATTGATTTCATATGAATTACGAAATGTTATATGATTCTGTATGAAAGGAATGCTCCATTACTGTGCAATCACATCAGAACTGAGTATAGAACGTTTACATTAGTGCGCAGTGCCGGTGTTTACACTCCCATCATGTTTATTGAGTAGATACATATTGCACGTGCAATGAATCACCAACATTTGACGTGTTGTCTAGGTGATTGTTTTAGCCATGATAATATCCTTCACATTTAGTAAATTTTGCTTTCGCGTCATGAACAGAATTAATCTGCATTACGTAAATTGTGCAATAAAAAAGTAATAATCGTACGTTTATGCAAATACATCCTTGTTTGTCAGCCTCATACCTAGAGATGTATTATACGTCTCTGTCTTACCTAAGGCTTGTCCGTGTATGCGATGTTGAAAGCTCAGTACAGTATACATTTGTACGTGACAACAGTTTCACAAAATCTGCGTCGTTACTCATAATTGAATAGGAAATACGTTACTTCACTTCCGGATTTTCCTACTTTTTTCTTTCTTTCCTGTCTTCTCTCACCTCCGCAATACGTTCTGTACTGTCTTTTTATGATCCTTGCTGTTGGCATTAAACCCGGATAAAAAGTCAGGGTTTTGTTTATTTTATGGTCCTTGCTTTTTATGCTATATAAGTAACGGTTCGCTAAGCATGTTACCATAGAAATATTTACCGTTTCCCTACCATTACGTAGATAATGTTTGTAAACTGACGGATGCTACATGTATATGGGAATTGAATTACATAAGGCCAAACGAATCGTAACTATAGCAAAAAAGCCGATAACATTCCGTCGCTATTTTATTCAAGCGTACGTGCTTTGCGTACAGATTAAGATTCATTATAGATTAACAGAATATAGATTGGCCACACAGCTCTGTCGATGTCCGCTTCCGCTCGCTCATTAATCGTCAATCAGCTCGTGATATGGACGGGTCAGACTTTGAGGTCAGACGTCCACGATCACAGTGACCTCTAGATTGTGTCGAATACAAATATTATACGCCCCCAGCCTGAAAACGTAACTGTGGAATTTTAAAGACTTTCGAGTCGACATGTTTTTGTGTGTACCGCGAGCTACGTACAATATAACGTAGCGAGATGTCAATATTTATCAGCCCAGGTCAGGCGAAATGATCTGACTGTCACATTGAAATTGTCCTGACGGTGTCCCCGGGTTAGAGCAGCAGGCTCACACAGGTTACGTCTATAAAGTGTTTCCCTCGAGGCGATGTGAATTCTTATCGATTCTTATCGCACAATGTATATCAAATACAGTCATATTTAAAGTATTATAAATTCACCTGTTCTCACCTGGACGGTAAACTCAAAATAAAGCTGGACTGGTAAAATACCGCGTCTTTGCACGTACGTCTTAAATCCTGGCGAATTTAATGTATTTCAACTTCGTAGTAATATAATAAAACCAATTTAGCCTTTAGAAGTCCGTTTCTAAAGTCTGGCCGTATGTGATAAAAATACTGATACTTGCCGTGCATATACTGTGTTAGATAAATTACCTGTATGTAAATAATTACTCTATTTTTATAAATCCTGCGGCACAGTGTACATCAAATATATATAAGTAGCAATAGTGTACGTAGATGAACTGAAAAAATATTTACAGATAAACTCCGGATCCTAAAACATTTGGTGGTAATTCCATGTTCTGTGGCGATCAAAGCATGTTAGGTCAAGTGTAGGCGTACTGGTACTGATATAGCTTGTGTAAACAATCTTTAATATAAAAATCTATAATATTTGTAAATCACAAACATAAAACTGACCGACGTCTTACTGGGACACTATTGTGTTCTCATCTTGATACGTTTCAATAAATCTCTATCAGATATAATCTACCCCATGTCCTTATGTCCTTATGTACACAGGTAATACACATAAGTTTACACCTGTATATCAAGGAGCACGTGTCAGTGTGACTATAATTGTTGTATAAAACACCCTTCACAACACGTGTCATTTGATTATTTTAACTCCTGTTAATCTTGTAACATTTTATTGACTTTAAATATGAATATTGGTACATTTAATAATTTTTACATTTTATTATTTGACTGACGGTAGTGTAGGCGGATGTGGAGGGTAATGAATACGAGGTAATTAGAAGGTAGTGGTTTGGATGTGAGGGCTGGTGTTGATGGCGGGATGGGAGTGTTTTGTGGATAATGAAGGGGTTGGGTCAGCGAAGGGTTAGAGTTAAGGGAGAATATTGATGTTGAATGAGTATTTCGGGGGATAAGGTACAGCATTATGTAGGAGATAAGCAAGATGGGTGGTAGTGTGGGGATGGGGTGTATTGTTGAGTATACGAGATCGATGTAGGCGGAGGACAATGACGGTCGGTAGTGGTTACAGGAGACAATGTAACATTCGGCCACCCTGTAGATGAAGATCTATGCTATATACGATGAAACGATATACTACGGCAGGTAGTGGGCACACAACCTGTATACTTACACTGAAGGATTGGAGGACATATAGTCACTGACCCGTGGGTCTCAAGTACTCGACAATCGATCCCAATGTATACCACACGTAACTGGATTAGGAAAGGTAATACGGAGATTTCGTGTGTCTGGGCCTGGCTGTAATCGACAGTCACAGCACGAGTAACTTACTCGTAAATGTGATATATACAGATATACAAAATGAATAACGATATTTTGTGTTGGTCATTAAACGTTACTTGTCAAAATTTGAAATACCAGTCGGTATGTGTTGTACGCAGATGCTAAATATAATCCGCTAAACATTCTTCCCTGTCTGAAATGTATTATTATTAGTTGAATTAATAGTATTATATAACCATTTTGATAACATGCACCTGATCTACCCGAAAGTCCCGATAACAGCCCTCAGGTGCATTTGTCCCTCTGGCTGATATAGGAAATCTTCGGCTGATAAGGATATGAATTGTTAATTGTCATATAAAAAGCGTTCTTGTGATGTGTTTAATTACTTACACAAAGTTATTCAAGAAGAAAGATGATAAGACATTTTAATTGACAGTGTCTGTTACAACTGCTGATACTAAGCCGCCTTTCTACTGTCAATAACGCCGAGGAACTTAGAATCTTCTCACTCCGCCTTTCTACTGTCAATAACGCCGAGGAACTTAGAATCTTCTCACTCCGCCTTTCTACTGTCAATAACGCCGAGGAACTTAGAATCTTCTCGCTCCGCCTTTCTACTGTCAATAACGCCAGGGAACTAAGAATCTTCTCACTCCGCCTTTCTACTGTCAATAACGCCGAGGAACTTAGAATCTTCTCGCTCTCATTGCTTAACATATATACAAACAATTATCTTAAAATTGAAACGACATGGTGGCGCGAATGCCGGATTTTATTTGGAATGGCCTTGGCACTTTCCAATTATTGGCCGAAACAGAATAAGAGGGGTTCCGAACAAGCGTTGCATTTCGAGAAACTAGACAAACAAACAAATTGATCATGTCAGTACGTCGAGAAACCGTCAAGAAAACGTTTTATCATCATGAAAATTGCCTTTAGTGCACCAAGATATATGTAAACATGGACATCTTACGTGTTATAAATCATATGGTCCAAAGTTTAACACAGCCCCTTCACAGAGTGGAGTACATATGTATATTGTTTAATACAGTCAACAACATTTTAATATCGCGTATTTTTAGCCCAAAATTAAACGCGGCCTCCTCACATACAATGTCACATGCATTTAGTTTAAAGATGAACACGACCGGCAACATCCTGATACTACACACTTCTGGTTCGAAGTCTAACGAAGCCCTCTCACTTCAATGTGTTCTTAACGTACGTTGCGCGTGCGATCAGAAAATAATATATGTAATTTCGGAAATTGACTGTGAGTTAACTGTTGTAGAGTCTCATTTTCTAGTGACTTTGTGAAAGGTTCCCAATAGCAATATGAATTATACTAACATTGAGACGCGTAGTCGACATTGATCCGTGGTGCTACTGGCGGTGTAGTAACACGTGCATTGCGTGACTATACACCATTCTTTACAGGTCGTGAGAGTACTCATACAAATAAACGTCCCGTGTTTGTACAAATACACATAAGTATCCTTTATAGCCGGCATTATATCGCCCCAGTGATACATATAGGAAGGTTATCACTCGTGCCTACCTCTCGCTGTTCAATCAGCTGGAATAATACCGTTATCTCATCATGGGAACAAGCCGCCTTTTCAACATGCAAGCTAAAGCCGGGTTGTAATTTCCGGATTTGTAACGAAGATAGATTTTATGATTGTTTATAATCGAGTAAAGAGCACTTTATTGCATCGCAGATATCGATGCCTTATCGCTTCTGTCAGATCAATGTGCTCGGGTTTAAAAGATTTGTGCTGTTTTTTTAGCGTACAGTACGACGTTAATACTGGTTGTAGAGTAAGGTGGTACGTTATATCACTGTACTCCGTTACACGAGACACCAACACGAGGTTCTCTGGTGCAATAAGGACCAGCTACAACAACCTCCATCCGTTTGAGCCGTTTCTGGGTATAATTTGGAGCGGATTATCAAAGAAAACCTTCTCACATGTGGTATTGTGTGTAAGAACGTATCACGTAATATCGGCCTTAGTATCAACTGGCGCGTGGATTTGTTCTCTGTGGCCACGAGATCTAGAAGAACCTCCTCTGTGTTACAGGTACACATGGCGGGATTAACCCAGCATCATCAACCGGAATACTGCAGCTTATTGTAACGCGCGCGTGCCACTCTTCCAAGTGCAATCGATTTGTAATCAGTGATGGTCTTCTCAAATGAGCAAAAATATATTTCACAAGACGTGCAATGGACATGTGAAGCGTTAGGGTATCCGTGAGGCACATCAAGTACTTTAATACCTAGAGCACAGAGGTGATAATCTTTTAACCGGAGGCATGAAAGCTTTCACAAGACCAGTGCGTCACATCGCTTGGATGACCCGGATGTAAATAGTAGAAAAATACAGACCGGTAATATTACAGTGTACGTGTGGTTAGCAGACGTATACAGTTAGTGGAGGTCAAGTGAGCAAGCACGTCCGGTCTGATCGAGGGATAAATGTCAATAATATCGGAGGTTTGTGTTACATCAGTGTTACTTTGGATTATTACATAACATAGTGAACATGCAGAACCATTCGTGTAACAGTGACAGCGAGATGTAAGTATTATAGGTAAATCACACCTTACCATTAATCGGGTTGTATTACTGTGTATATATATATACCTTTATGTACAGGTGAGGACAGGTATGCTATCAACAATAGATGTGTATAAGTGTGGTTGAAGACACGTGTGTACAGGTATAAGTGTACCTGCATGATCAGGTAAGACATTTCAGGTCGTAACAGCGAACAAATGTCTGTAAAAGAATGATGTTTAAAGGCTAAAACCTGTCCACCCAAGTGTTGTAAATAAATACGTTAAGTAGACTTTATCATGCAAAACAGTTATTTACACACATATTTGAGACAATTTCGAATAAATGACAGCTGAAGTAACATACTGAATACTAATATGCTTAATACAGGGTTTACAAGGATGTTATGCCAGGTAAAGTTCTGGTTTCCATTCGTAAAAAAATCATTTACCCACCCACAATATTATTTCTTAAACTTTTGAAATTACACTTATGGTTTTTGTATTACGGTTGTTTATATCCACTATACCTACCCCCACTCTCCGCCCCACCCCCTACATATATACCCATACACACCTCCCCCGCGCCCACCTCTTTAGATGAGGGGTTTGATAAAGGTCTATTCTAACGTTTCTATGTATAACGTCACAATATTGTGATACCTGAGTGTGTTTACTTACACTGTCGGCTTCATCAGTTTGTTATGTCAACCCAATACAGGCTCGACCTCATTTCGTATGGTTTGTTCGTAACTCACCGATTCAATCTGACAGTTTAAAAGACAGTTTTCCTGATGAGAGGTTTGAGGTATACACAGTACTAGTGGGGAAGGGGTATGTATTACCAAAGTATATATATTATGTTGTAATATCGTGATAAGTTAAAATCATTGAAAAAAGCGTAAATAAAATTGTACTGTAAATCTGAGTAACGCTCCGTACACAAGTATAATAGTCTACCCCCATGATCAAGAAAACTAAAAAAAGCTGAACAATTCAGTTTGGAATTGAGCCGAGAATATTTTATCACTTCATCACGTTGTGACGCTTAATAGCTTACTGTGACTTAGTCAACACAAACGTCGCGTGATCTTGTGTACGTGTATATAAAAGCTCACGCTTTACTATAGGCTGGTAGGCTTCATACTTTCTACTATTATATACGTCCTCCCAAATATGTACAAGGTTCAGCAATATATGGAAAAGAGGCATGCGTTCTATTTAAATTTTGTTTAGGACTCAAACCTTTAATTGAAAAACTGTCATATTCCGAATTGGAACTCGTAAAAACATTCTGTAATTACTGTACTACAGATATTATCTTATTAGAATTAGAAAAAAAGAAGAAGTAATAATTGAACTTAAACATGTTATGGCGGTGACCAGGCTTAATGTATACAGGCACTGTAGGAAGGGATGACTAACACTGTCTAGGGGGGATGGCTCATCGACTCTTGTAAAGGTTAAATCTGTTTTATTAAACGCATTCCTGTATAACTAGTTATAATCTTGTTTATTCACGATGGCCACACGCCACGGACAAATTCACGTTGACAATGACACCAGCAATAACTAGAATCCGTATAAATTAATAGCGACATTCACGTTGCTAGATCAGGACCGTTCAGTTTATGCCAGTGATGTATCGCTTCTAATGACACATATAGTGTTCTGCATATCTCACAACAACACGTGTTTGATATATCTCACAACAACACGTTTTTGATGTATCTCACAACAACACGTGATTGATGTATCTCACAACAACCCGTGTTTGATATATCTCAAAACAACACGTGTTTTATATATCTCACAACAACACGTTTTTGATATATCTCACAACAACACGTGTTTGATATATCTCACAACAACACGTGTTTGATAAATCTCACAACAACACGTGTTTGATATATTTAAAGACGTATTTAATATGTTTACATCGCTTAGCAAATACCTATAGTGTTTACTTTTATCATTCATCTTGACAAAAGAAGATGTTCTGTTTACATCTCATGTTTAACATAGTGATACTGTTGTACCGGGATTAGAGACTTGTTAGGGAATCTAACTTAACTTCGACGTCACTATTAAACACATAAGCATTGGTTCAATGTACTTAGCGGTTGAGAACCAAACTTTGTAACAAAACACATTAGCGTTGTTACCTAGCGCGATTGAGAACCAATCTCTACACATAGGTACAACTAGTGCTACCGATGATCAAACGTATAAGTAGATTTTATACATGTCGACACTGAAAACAAAACAGCATAATATTAATAAAAGAAAAACAGAGAGACAAACTCAAGACAAAAACAAACAAAAAACAAGAAAGTTCCGTTCATGCTCTGAAGAACCGAAAGGTACTTTTTGTTGTACTATACGTTAAACAAATTTAAAATGAACACCAGATGTTCAAATAACTTCGACCTCTATCTAACACATCTAAACTAGTTATAGAGTTTAATTTTAGTGTTTGATGAACATTGTTTAGCTGCTAAAAAATCATCTTCACCTTTCAAAGATAAATGTACGTCTGTGCGTTAGGCATGTGTAGCACTGAGTGTGTATCGTAATGTAATATAAGTAAAAACTTTCATCACTGAATAAGTCTCACTTGAGTCTTCAGTGCATTTATATTTAGTCCCTTTCAACATATGCAAACTACTGATAGTACCAGCGACGGTTCATTCTCGTCAATTTATAGCTGTCAATACCGAAAGCGTTAATAAATCTGAACCGTTTCTGCATCATCAATCATCAATGCTGGTCAGACTGCAGACTGCCTCTTTCCCCGGCGTTTTCTCGTTTTATATTCTATTTCCTGGAGTGACCTTCACAGAAACCATTATATAAAGCTATATATGTTTCGCCCTACTTCCCCTTAATATATATTATTTATACATCCAGAACTCGGAGATTAATTGCAATGCATACGAGATGGCTATTCCTATTGACAGTACTTAACCGACCCAGAAGGATCTAGGAGGCTCAGCCATTTATTTCTGTCAAAAACATCCGATTATCACACATAAACCCGTTAATTAGATCAAAGTAAGGCTGTTTGGATGTAATCCAGTCCCGCCGGTAAATAAACCAAAAAATGCTGCTTACAAATAGAATAGATATTGGTTTAACTATCAATAGGATCATTGTAATGATGTATTGATGTAAAATGTATTTAAGACGATGATACACTGATAAGTGCTGTTAGTAAATAAGTCTTGCTGAAAATAAAGGTAAATTGTATTTGTTGTCGAGCGCTTTATGTAACCGTAAAATACCTAAAAGTAGCGACGTTTTGATGACAAATGTATATGATGCATTGTACTTGATAAACTAATAAGTTCTGTCGGTGAACAATTGAAAAATTCTTCTTAACATGAAAAAAAAATTGTTTAACATGAAGCATATCAAAGTTAGGACGTAAAATATAGAAAATATCTTTGACGCTATGAAATGCATGTAAGTACTGTCGGTTAAAAACTCAAAAATCCTGCTTTGAATAAAGCAAACTATGTATTGTGGGGAACACCTCATGAACAAAGTTATGTACCCGAGAGATGAAAAAGCTATAGAGTACTCAGCCAAGCTCTCGTGCTTAAAGTTTTGAACACGAGGGATGACGAAGCTAGGGAGTACATGTACACAGTCTCTCATGCTAACAGTTCTATACCCGAGCTGTGAAAAACACTAGGGAGTGCACAGCCTCTGGTGCTAACAGTTCTATACACGGGTGATGAAAAACACTAGGGAGTGCACTTCCTCTGGAGGTAAAAGTTATATACCCGAGCGATGACAAAGCTAAGGGGTACAGCTCATGCTCTAAGATCTATACCCGAGCGATGAAAAAACTAGGGAGTACACAGACTCATGTGCTAAATACATGTATTCTATACCCGTACGATGTTAAAACTAGGTAGTGCACAGTCCCTGTTGCTAAAAGTTCTATACCCGAGCGATGCCAAAGCTAAGGAGTACACAGCCTCTGGTGCCTAAAGTTCTGTACCCGAGCTATGACAAGGCTAAAGAGTACACAGGCTCGTGTTCCAAAATGTCTATACCAGAAGTAAGAAAAACTAGGGAGTACACAGACTCTGGTGCTGGAAGTTCTATACCCGAGCTACGAGAAAGCTACGGAGTACACAGGCTCGTGTTCTAAAAGTTCTATACCCGAGCGATGACAAAGCTAGAGAGAACGAACTCTATGGAATCAATCGGAACACTGTCAGATCGATGTGGAACTGTTTTATTATGAAATATACGGAGCCCGAGCCAAAGACAGCTAACCAGAGTGAGAGCGACACACACGAGGCGAGTTCGTTTGGCTATCGTCGGCAGAATTACGGGCGGTTATCAGATGGACGAATAGATAAACGATTTACACCAATATATAGCCACAATTTATTTGTAAATGGAATTCGAAACATGCTTTCTGATAAGACTGAATCACGAGGGGGTTGGCTTCTCGCCGTCACCTAGGCGATCGAAGACCGGCACTATTAGTAGTGATTATGTGTTTGAAATCCGTGCGTCTTTCATCTCCTGTGGAAGTCGGCGGGAAAACTTTACCAGTCGCTGTACGGCACAAGCACGAGACAAACATGTCCCACTACGGTAGTACTACCGGGGACGTCTTAGATCTTCCGCCCGTCATCATCATCACACCTGGCCGACACAGGTAAGCTACTTCATTAATTTGTAATATGTGTCGCGAGCTGGACAGTACACTTTACGCGCTGGTTTGGACGCGAAAAAAACTTCTTTTACATAAAGAAACGTTTCACTATGTACTGTTCCATAGAAAACCTTCCTTCTTGCGACTTGTTTTCAAATATGTTTTTGTTATTCTTAGTTTGCATTCGTCTAATTGATATTTTCATTTGTGAAATAACAAGTGTTTGCAATCTTTCAAAACACCTGTCTGTTTTTGGCACTGAAATGTCATAACATGGACACGGAAGCAGGCTTTCTCAACAAGTCATCTGACTCTAACAATGGTCTCGGGTTTCTCAGAATCTG